TCAAAATGCAGATTTGAAAAAACTCAGAGAGAATAGATAGATAGATAGATAGATATGAACAGAAATAGATGGTTAGATGTGAATAGTTAGATAGATATAAACAGAGATAGATATGAACATAAATATGAACATAGATAGATATGAACAGAGAAGGATAGATCAATAGATAGATAGATAGATAGATATGAACAGCCTGAGAAAGATAGATAGATAGGTAGATATGAACAGAGATGGCTAGAGAGATATGAACAGAGATAGATATTAACAGCGATACATATGAACAGGGATAGATAGATAGATAGATAGATAGATAGATAGATAGATAGATAGATAGATGTTAGATAGATGGCTAGATATGAACAGAGGTAGATAGATATGAACAGAGATAGATATGAACAGAGATAGATAGATGGCAAAATATGAAGAGAGATGTCTAGATAGATAGATATGAACATAGATAGATATGAACAGAGAATATATATATATATATATATATATATATATATATATATATATATATATATATCGATCGAATAAGTTTTATATAACATGTGTATACATTTAAAGGGAATACGTTGATTTAAGTATTAAAAAATTAAAAAAAAATATCTCCTAGCTAATAAACAGATACACATGTTAGAAATATTTTATTAAGTATTTTTGAAATATGATATGTTTGATAGGGTCAGTTGACGGTCATAAGTCCTGAGTTGAGGAATGGCCGATCGCAAAATGGAGGACAGATTTGGTGGAATTTCAGTGGCTTTTTCATTGGACTTTGGATTAACGAATTAGGATATTTCGTTGTAAAAAAAAAAAAAAGAGTTTTTCCTCCAGCATTTTTCCGTGAAAATTATTGCCTCTTAGCGAACACATACAGTCCGAAGGTGCTTTACAGTAGCAAGCAAGGAAAAAAAATAAGATGTCTCTCTCTCTTACTCAGTTGTTTTTTTCTCTCCTTCACTGACTTTACTAAGAGCAATAAAGGCCTCGATAAAGACCATATGCGTGATGTTATTTAATACTAGCAGAAAATTTTTTACTCCTGGTAAAAAGACAGCTAATTTAATTTTCAGCATGAATCAGAAATTTGGTTCATTGGTCTAAAAAATGTCTTGGTAACTAGAGTTTCGATGCAACCAACATGGCTGACATGACGACAGTAGTCACCAAACAATACAAAACGTTGGCCTGTTTGTATATTAGTGTGGCAGCTTTCATAGAAGTAAAAACAGTGTTGCAATATACGCGGGACTGATATAATATTCATATACAGACAAATTGATTTGTTATATCGATCAGCAATACCGATGACATTAATTTGGTGAAAAGTCAATTCATTCCAACCAATTCAGGCAAACAATGAACTCTTTTCTTTCCCATTCACGAGAATCCTTTCTCGGATGGGCCAATGAAATTTAAATCATAAAGGCGCAATATATCGACTCCGTTGGGGAACATTGCAAACATCGGATCTAAACGAACTTTGTATTCTTAAAGCCGATCGATTGCTGTAATCGATAAATAGAAATTGCGATAATCTATAGATCATTGTCCGTGATGTGTCAACATTTATTTTCGAGGGCTCAATGTGCAGTGAATTAAAAAGAGACTTGCTCAGATTTAATGTGTTGTCGTCACAATGTCAAATTGTTTGCATTTTTCCACTCAATACAAAACTCGAGGGTCGCTCAAGGTAGAGTTTTACTGATATGATATGAATGTAAGAGGAGGCTAGTGAAAATTTTGAGGAAAGTTAGGATATATAACGATTGACCATTGACTTAAAGAGGTTGTAATTGAGGTGCATTTGGTTACGATGAAAGAGGTGTGCGATATGAATGAAGGATAGATGACGATTGACCTTTGGGTTGAAAAGGTTAAGATTCCAGTGTAGAGGGTTACTGTTGAAATGTTTACGATGGATCAGGCGAGTGATATGAATGAAGGAGGAGGGGGTGGAAAGCGAAGATTATGAGGATAGGGATGATAGATAACGATTGACCTTTGGGTTGAAAAGGTTAAGATTGCAGTGTAGAGGGTTACTGTTGAAATGTTTACGATGGATCAGGCGAGTGATATGAATGAAGGAGGAGGGGGTGGAAAGCGAAGATTATGAGGATAGGGATGATAGATAACGATTGACCTTTGGGTTGAAAAGGTTAAGATTGCATTGTAGAGGGTTTCTGTTGAAATGTTTACGATGGATAAGGTGTGGGATATGAATGAAGGAGGAGGGGGTGGAAAGCGAAGATTATGAGGATAGGGATGATAGATATCTTTATCTGTCCTCCCTATCCTTGGTTTTCAAAAAGTTCAGAATGCAGAGTAGACAGTTACTGTTGAAATGGTTGCAATGGATGAAGTGTGTGATATGAAATGTAAGAGGAGTGGGTAGGTATTGAAGATTATGAGAATAGGGAGGATAGATAACGATTGGCGCTTGACTTGAAGAGGTTACGGCTGTAGTATTCAGAGAGGCATCCGCGCAAGCAACTGTTTCAGAAAGAGGTAATTCTTGGGAAAATCTGAGTGGAATTGTTTCCACATAATCGGAATAGATAAGAAATAAGGAGCAAAAAACTCCGTAGAATAATTGGCACGACATTTTCTCGCTCTAAATGGCTGAAGTGGTGGGAATAAAAAAAAATGGAACTTATTCGGATATTTGCCTTGGAAATAGCAATTGTCTAGATTGGATAGCGTAGATCAATGATTCCTTACATGGGGCGCATGCCCAACCGATGGGGCATAGTATGATTTTGGTGTGGGCATGCGTAGGATGTGCACCCTTCGGCTATATCAACAGAATTCGAGAATGAGTTATTAACAGTGAATTGTTTTGTGGTGAGTCAATTTTTGGCCAAGGTAGTTACATTTATATCTAAGAAAATATAAATAAATCTAAAAGAGGGGGAGATAATCTTGATTTAGTTATACAAGTCTTGCTAATTAACCCATAGTTAAGGGGGGAGATTTCGATTACTAGCTTTTCCCAAGGGTATTTGCGCGAGTATAACTAATCCGACAAGAATTGGAACTCGGATCTCCGATTAACACCCGTACACCACCCGTACACCACCCGTACACCACCCGTACACCCATTCTATATATGTGAGGAAATTTGTCTAGTACAGTGTAACCCGGATATAAGAGAGTTGTCGGGACCGGAGAAGAAGTCTCTTATATCCGGGTTTCTCTTATATCCGGGTTTGGTCTATTTAATATACATTAACACAGGCTCTTATTTGGGACCAGAGAAAATCTCTCTTATATCCGGGTTTCTCTTATATCAGTGTCTCTTATATCCGGGTATTCACTACCATGGAGGAGGATTGATGTTACATAGCAGTGGAGCACACATTTGTCTGTTTCTACATCGATATATATGTATATATATATATATATGTGCGCATTCAGTGTGGACTCATTTACCATTTTTAGCAAGTCACATTCGAATTACCGCTTAAAAGTATTGGAGGCCATTTATATTTTATCTTTGAAGCCTTCTCTGTGTAAACAGAAAGACTTCGTGCTGGGCCTCCAACTAATTTCCATCTAAGCAATATTATTTTCTCTCCATCCTTATGCATATTGTCCATCTCTTTTTAGTGATAATTCTATTATAATTTATTAACCTCGATTTCGCTCTGTTGAGCGAGGTTCGAAACCGGTTTGCTAGTCCGTTTTTCAGTTTTACATTTTATCTCTTATCATCATGAGTAGTAATAAAAATAAATTTTGTCTTTTCATGGCGGTCATAAAATTTTGTACCACAAAGCATATCTTTATATAATATATCTGCGTACCATCTGCTTAATTTAACACGTGGAGTTAAACAGGACATCTAACGTAGACCTGTTTGACAGGTGTAATATTAGTGGAATCGAGACTTTTCTCATACAGTCTCAGTTACGGTGGACTGGTCATGTCTTGAGAATGTCTGATGACAGGATACCCAAGATCCTAATGTACAGCCAGTTAGATCAGGGCTACAGGAATGTTGATACAAAGACAAGCTGAAAAGCAACTTGTTAGCAGTCAATATACCACATAACACCTTCGAGCGCTTAGACTTGGAGCGGGTAGAGTGGAGATCAACGTGTTTTAGTGGACTCAGCAGTTTTCAATCTGCTTGATTAAATCGCCTTCAAGAAGCGAGAGCAAGATCTAAAAGGTCAGCCAATCTGACAGTGATCTCATCGCACAATCCTTACTCTTGCTCCATATGTGGCCTCCTTTGTAAATCACTAGCGGGTCTTAAGTGCCACTTAAGATTATTGCACAAAATTTCATAACTGAATCAACTAAGCTGTCAGATCCTCATACAGACATCCTCAGGTATGGAATAGATTTTGTTCTTGTTTTTCTCTTCATTAATAAGAGGAAAAGGAAAATATATGTACTGTTGTATCCGGAAAAATGCTATTAGAAATGAGTTATTGTTTTTGGAGCGTGCTGTCGCAACGCTGAGTTTGAATTTAAATTTTACAATTGTGCGTTCTTATACAAATATGGTGATAAGCGAATTCTTTTTTAATTAGAAATATATGTATATGCTCCAAAAGCAATAACTCATTTCTCATAGCATTTTTCGGATTACAACAGTACATATATTTTCGTTGTCCTCTGAGAGAGAAAAACAAGAACAAAATCTATTCCATACCTAAGGATGTCTGTATGAACAGACGAAAGCTTGTAAAAATAAGAACTCATGCAACAGAAATTTATAGAAACAAGGATCTTTTCATGCATAAACAGGTTCGGGGTTTTTGTATATTATTTGAATTGTTCGCGACGATGGATTTCTCGCCAATTAAATCATTAACCTTTGTATTTGTTTTTTGTATGAATAATTCATGAATTTGTAAATTAATTGCACCTTTATTGAAATATATATATATATATATATAGAGAGAGAGAGAGAGAGGGAGAGAGAAATTAAGATAAATTTGAATAATCATAATGAATTTATCGAGTCTAGAAGAATCCTCAAAAGAATGCATAAAGCACTGGATGGCCATTTCGTCCTGCGCATCCACTACCGAGAATTGAACCCGAACCCCATCTCACTTTCTCTTTCTCGCTCCCCCGTTCTCCTCCTCCTCCTTCTATCTATCTATCTATCTATCTATCTATCTATCTATCTCAGTCTGTTCATTATCTATCTTTGTTCATATCTATCATAATCTATTCATATCTATCTGTATATCTTCTATATATCGATCTATCTATCTCTATACATTTCTATCGATCTTAGTCTATTCATATCTATCTATCTATCTATCTATCTATCTATCTATCTATCTATCTATCTTAGTCTTCATAGTTCTCTATATAAATAAATACATACATATTGACATAAATAAATAAATATATTTGCTTTAATTTAATTTAATTTATGCTTCCACCTTATATATATATATATATATATATATATATATATATATATCAACACACAAAACAGCTAACTGAAGTGCAATCGTAAAGACGACTGAAGGGACAAGCATGGAGAAGTTCAACATTACATTATCACATAAAGTTTAATTTTTTCTTCTGTTAGGTAATCGAAGTGGCTGATCCCGATGCTAATAAAATCAATACATGCATATGCACTTAATGCAATGATATAAATTACTTGAAATACAGAATCAAATCAAATTAAGTAGAAGTAATAACAACAACAACAACAGTATCAGCAGCAGCAGCAGCAGCAACAACAACTGTAACAATAGCAGCAGCAACTGCAGTGGCAGCAGCAACAATAACAACAGCAGAAACAACAACAACAATTCCAACAAGAACAACAACAGCAGCAACAACAGTAACATCAACTGCAACAACAGCAGCAGCAACTACAGTGGTAGCAGCAACAACAACAACTGCAACATCGGCAGCAAATTCATCAGCAGCAACAGAAACAGTAGCAGCACCAAGTGCAGTGGCAGCAGCAACAGCAGCAGCAAAAATAACAACAACTGCAATAACAACAGCAACAGCAACTGCAGTTGCAGTAGCAACAACAACAGCAGTAGCAACCACAACAACAACTACAAAGCAGCAGCAAAAACAGCAGCAGCACCAGTAGCAGCAGCACCAGTAGCAGCAGCACCAGTAGCAGCAGTAGTGGCAGCAGTAGTGGCAGCAGTGATGGCAGCAGTAGTGGCAGCACACCCAGTAGCAGCAGTAGTGGCAGCAGCACCAGTAGCAGCAGTGGCAGTAGTGGCAGCAGTAGTGACAGCAGCACCAGTAGCAGCAGTGGTGGCAGCAGCACCAGTAGCAGCAGTAGTGGCAGCAGCACCAGCAGCAGCAGTAGTGGCGGCAGTAGTGGCAGCAGTAGTGGCAGCAGCACCAGGTAGCAGCAGTGGCGGCAGTGGTGGCAGCAGCACCAGTAGCAGCAGTAGTGGCAGCAGCACCGGTAGCAGCAGTGGCAGCAGTAGTGGCAGCAGCACCAGTAGCAGCAGTAGTGGCGGCAGTGGTAGCAGCAGCACCGGTAGCAGTAGTGGCAGCAGCACCAGTAGCAGCAGTGGCAGCAGTAGTGGCAGCAGTAGTGGCAGCAGCACCAGTAGCAGCAGTAGTGGCAGCAGCACCAGTAGCAGCAGTAGTGGCAGCAGCACCAGTAGCAGCAGTAGTGGCAGCAGTAGTGGCAGCAGTAGTGGCAGCAGCACCAGTAGCAGCAGTAGTGGCAGCAGTAGTGGCAGCAGCACCAGTAGCAGCAGTAGTGGCAGCAGCACCAGTAGCAGCAGTAGTGGCAGCAGTAGTGGCAGCAGCACCAGTAGCAGCAGTAGTGGCAGCAGTAGTGGCAGCAGCACCAGTAGCAGCAGTAGTGGCAGCAGTAGTGGCAGCAGTAGTGGCAGCAGCACCAGTAGCAGCAGTAGTGGCAGCAGCACCAGTAGCAGCAGTAGTGGCAGCAGCACCAGTAGCAGCAGTAGTGGCAGCAGCAACAACAACAGCAGCAACAACAGTGAAATGTTTAGATCGACATCAGAAGAATCGGCAATGGAAAATATGTCAAATGATATGAATCCCGAACCAAAGGTCATGAGGTCACTATTTTTTGGACTTTACCCTTCATATTGACCTTGGAAATACTGAGCACACTATCAAGAAATAGTGCAATTCTTCTTCTTCTTGTTCATGGTTCTCCACAGCTGCCTATCCTTCATGCTCCGTCCATGGTATTCCCAACATCCTTCTGTAGAACCGCATTTCTATTGGCTCAAGTTTCTATGTGAGGAAATTGTCCAGCATTCAATCCGATATAAGAAAATAATTAATATTTTCCTGTCTCTTAATACTTTGCTTAGCTTATGAAAGGCATGAAGAGATTGTCTCCTCTTTGACTTTATCCTGATAATCCCCCTTAGTTTTCACTCTCCTGATGTAAAATATAGTCATCTTGTTAGTACATTAAAGCCTTCTAAAGCTTTCAGGTTTCGCTGTCATCACTTTAATGACAAAATAAATAAATATAAGATCTTGAAATGGAAAATGTAGCGCCTTAAAAGTACTGGTATCTCTCTCTCTCTCTCTCTATATATATATATATATATATATATATCAGGTCATCCCATAAGTTCTGTCCGAATTTGAACTTTTTGCATTTTAGAATGTCTAATGGAGCTGAACATTATTTTTATGTTTAGATGCATTTAAACTGATCAAATTTTATTTCAGAGAACAATAAAATTAAATTTTGTTTGATTAAAACCCTTCTAACATGGAAGTACACAAGAATCATTTGAGGCACTTATAATGCTTTATGAGTTCAAGAAAGGAAACTCGGCAGTCGAAGCGGCTAGAAACATTCACTCAGTTTATGGAGAGGAATGTGTGAATGAAAGAACTTGCAGAAGATAGTTTGCAAAATTCAGAGGTGGAGATTTCACCCTTGAAGATGAAGATCGAACCGGACGTCCAGTTGAGTTTGATGAAAAGCTTCTTGAAGCAGCCCTTTATCAGTTGACGAACTGGCAGCGGTTCTCAGTTCAAACCATACAACTGTTCATCGTTATCTTAAACAACTTGTAAAAGTTCCTACACTTGGAAAATGGGTGCCTCATGAATTGTCTGAAAACAACCTCAAATCCCGAGTTGACATCTGCTCTTCTCTCCATTCTCGCCAACTTGTTTCACCTTTTTTGGATAGACTTGTGACTGGCGACGAAAAATGGATCTTTTAACGAAATGTCAAGCGTCGTAGACAGTGGCTTGGTAAAGGGGAAGGACCCCAGCCACAACCGAGAAGGGCACTTCATGGGCAAAAGGTTCTTCTTTCAATCTGGTGGGATCGCCAAGTAATAATCCACTTTGAATTCTTACCACCTAATGCAACAATTAATGCTCAAATATACTGTCAGCAATTAGAGCGTTTGAACCAAGCTTTGAGGAAAAAAAAAAGACCTGCTCTAGTGAATCGAAAAGAGGTGATGTTTCATCGGGACAATGCGCAATACCACACAGCAAGAATCACGTCACAAAAGATCGAAGAACTTGGTTGGGGAAAAATTCCTCATCCACCTTATTCTCCCGATCTTGCTCTTTCAGACTACCATTTGTTTCGTAGCTTACAGAATCATTTGGAAGAAACAGCTTTTGTAACACAGGAAGAGGTTAAAACTGACATTTTTGAGTTCTTCGAATCAAAAGCAAAAGAATTTTTAGAGTAATGGAATTAGTAAGTTTGTTAATAGATGGAAGGACGTCATAGATAATCAGGGAAAATACATTATTGATTGAATCTGTAATTAAATGTAACATTTGGTCACTTGTTTTCTTTATACAAAATTCGGACAGAACTTATGGGATGACCTGATATATATATATATATATATATATATATATATATATATATATTGCAAGGAATAAGAATGAATTATTTCTTAAAGGCATTATGGAAACAAAATAAAAAATAAGAGATGATAACTCTCACAAACAGACCAACAGGTTTCGTTCCCAAGCTCATCAGGGTCGACTGGGGACTATTTCTCAATAATTGCAATATGAATAACTCACGCACACATCCTACATACAATTAAAACCTTAAAAATGAAAAGATTAATGGTATGAAGGAAAAAAAAAATTAAATACATAAATATTATATATATATATGTCTTTTTTTCCCTCTTTTAAACTGTGCAAATATGCACAATAAACGGGGGAGAAAAAAAAATATATATATATACATAACGGAGTGTGAGGGGGGAAATTGTGATAAACACTAGAGAATAATGACGTGAAGCCCAAGGAGACAGTCTCTTTGCTTACACAAAGATGGCTCCCTGGACCGAATGTATAGAGACTCTAGTGCTTTCAAATGGAAAAGAGAGTGCGAACTGGATAGAACTGTGAACCAATTCGGACTAAAGTTCTTCGCACAATCCCTGCAATTTATTAAGTGCTCCGTGATAGCTGAACCGGAAGTATTAACCAACTGGCTCTTAGGAGCTTCCGGATTGAGAACTCGTAATGGGACATGCTGCCTGATCCTACAATCTAAACGTTGGGAAGTCCTTCCTATGTAGTTGCTACCGCAACCACATTTAAAAAAATATATCACGGAGGAGACATGATGGGGAGGAAGAGGATCCTTGCACATAGATGGAAAGGCAGAACGAGTCGCAAAATGAATTCTCAGTTGAGCAGAGAAAAAGCAGTCATGGACGGCTGACAAGATACGCTTAGCCAAAAGCTCACCTCGAGAACCAATAAATGGAAGCCGTAAATAAACAGGACATTTCTGAACACTGTATTGTTTTTCCTTTCGAAAGTTATTAATTTTATCACGCATAACAACATCAAGAATATCATTAGGATATCCATTTTGTAATAGAATGTGGCGGATAAAATTAAATTCTTCATCCAAAAATTTGTCGCTGCAAATCATCAAGGCCCTATGAGTTAGTGTCTTGATTAGATTGATTTTGCGTTTCCTGGGACAAAATGAGTCCCAACGCGTATACAGACCAGACTTTAGTCCGAATTGGTTCACAGTTCTATCCAGTTCGCACTCTCTTTTCCATTTGAAAGCACTAGAGTCTCTATACATTCGGTCCAGGGAGCCATCTTTGTGTAAGCAAAGAGACTGTCTCCTTGGGCTTCACGTCAGTATTCTCTAGTGTTTTTCACAATTTTCCCCCTCCCACTCCGTTGTATATATATTTTTTTTTTTCCCCGTTTATTGTGCATATTTGCACAGTTTAAAAGAGGAAAAAAAGACATATATATATATAATATTTATGTATTTATTTATTTAATTTTTTTTTTCCTTCATACCATTAATCTTTTCATTTTTAAGGTTTTAATTGTATGTAGGATGT